CCGGATGGAGAGTGCCAGATTGCTCCGGCTACGTGTTTTCAATCCTAAAGAAAGTTATATATAACACAGATCCTCTATTTCCTTATCTCAGCCTTTCCTCTCTAGATTGCCCTGTTAATATTCTTAAAAAATTTGTAGGTACTCTTTATAACTATCCAATCCAATCTTTTTATCGCAGTTTGAAATCATTCGATACAATTGCTAATTGTTAGACGATACGCCACGTGTCTATGATCGCAAACATTGAACTACGTAGCTATATCTGCTCAACTACTCGAGAGATAAAATAGTTACGTCTATGCTTCTCTGGTTGTGTTCCGTGCTATGTCCGCAATTTTCTGTTTCTATTCCATGCATTTCGCGTAAACATTCGCGAAATAGAATCAAATCGTGAACATAACAACCTATGAAATAACAAATGGTTTATAGAGACAATACTTTTTCATATATTAGTTATACATAGAAAAAATAAACTTATCCAAGTCTGTCAAAATGTAAAATATGCTGAAATTTTTAAGTAATATATGCAGCGTCCCCAAAAGTCCCAAAGTACTAGATATTTTTTCGCCAATAAATTCTGTGAAATATTCACGAAAATAAAAACTTTTATATAACTTTTATAACAATAACAAGTAATAGTAATCGGGTAATAGTTAAACGTCTTAATACTTTTTATATATAGAACGGCAGTATTTAATAATTGGTAATATTGTATGTATATCAATATACTTTACACATGTGTGTTGTAACAGTTCTTTATTTCTAAACGGTAGAAAATATTTTTACTTACGCAAGAGTGCAAAGAGGGACTGTCGGAGCCTGCATGCGTTGCAAGTTGCAATAATTAGATCCGCGTTCGCTGTGCGCAAGCAAAAGCCTACGCTTAGAAATCCATTTTTTATCTCTTTCATTGGTAAATCCATTCTTGGCAAATATAATAAGTGATCGTAATTCCTATATCTTTTATAACGCATCGGAAGGAGCCTGACTTTTAAAGATTTACATTTTTAAGGAATTTAAATTTAACAAATTCAATATATAAATTCCGAAAAACAAAAACTTTACAAAAATTCTCAAAAATATCCTATGCAAAAAAATTAAGAATATTTTAACTTACGAAATAATTTACGAAATTTTAAAAATCAACGAAAAATTAACAATGAGAAGTAAAAGATAAATAAATCAAATAAAAGCCATCTGTTAATGATGAGTATTGTAATATTTTTTAACTTAAAAAAGAAATATTATATTGCACATTATTAATACTGGCCCTTAATTATTCTTTATTTCTTATCTTTGTTTAAATCTTAAAAGTTTTTATTTGTATTTATTTGAAAAAATTAACATTATTATAATTTCAAGTTTCAGAGTCAGTTCTGTATAGCTAAATTAAGTGTATTTAAGGCTCTTGTTATCATCTTATGAATGTCAGAAACG